TTTTTTTTTTTTTTTTTTTTTTTTTTTTTTTTTTGAAGCGAAGCAAATATACAACGAGACAACAGGTGGCGCAAGTTTTGTAAATAAGTAACGGCGAGTTAACAGAGGGATACCCTTGTCGCGTATGGAAGATCGATAGCCAATTTAACCGCGAAGGTAGGATTCGCTCCCCTGCGAAAGGACGAGCGGATCGAATCGAATCGAATGGAATCGAATCTAAGCTAAAGGTAACCAACCGGATGATCGAGTCGTGCTTTCGCGATCGAATTGAAATTCGTAAGTCGAAGTTGTGGGCGGGGGAGGGGAAGATGTGGGGAGGGGAGGAGCAGGTCCGGGCTGGGAAAAAATGCAAATGGGGTCAACAAACCGGGCGCGTCAATAGTAGAAACGGGGAATGTACCTTAAAACTGTGGAGCAAAGTGGAGCAATTAGGGATAGAGTAAACGAACCAGATTTCGCGGCGGGGAAAATGCATATTCAGCGAACCCTCGGCGGGAACAACCGGCGCCGCCTCTCCACCGCTAAAATCGACGATTTTAAACCGCGTCTTTCCTGCTTTGGTTCGCGATAAATATTATTTATCACGAAATTTCCATAACTTGGCATTAAAGATTTCTCCCATAACTCGTCGGAGAGAGAGAGAGAGAGAGAGAGAGAAAGAGAAAGAGAGAGAGAGTTTTCGAGAGTTCTCGGCCTAAGTCAGCGGCCGCCCGCCGGCAGAGTTTTTCACGGCGCGCGTTTTCGCGCCAACAACAACACAACAACAACAACAACAACCTAATTTTCCATCATCCGATATTTCGTACGTCCACAATGTGCGAATGAATCTCGCCTATTATTCGCTTGTTATCGCTTACGGGGAATAACCCGTTTAATGGTTATTGTTATCTAATTTAATATGGAGCGTTCGTCGATTAATTTTATTCGCAACTCCCACGATCTATACACACACACACGTCGCAACGTATCGAAATCCATCGAACAATTCATTCGATTCAATCAATTTTCTCGCCGAATGTGAATATCGTGTTTAGATCTTTGCTTTGTTCCTTGTTCTTATTAATTTCGTGAGAATAAAGGAAAAAAAAAGAAAAAAAATTGACGAGAGTTCGAAAGGGTTCAAAAAAAGAAAGAAATAAAAGAAAAACGCGGAAAATAATTTTTCGCGGGTCGGAATGCCCTTCTTAAATATTACTCTTGCTACGTTTTCTGGTTTGCTTGACAAACAGTGTGCGCGCGGCTCCGCGCAAGATAAACAATTCCCCTCCCCTCCCCTTCCCCTCGAGCATCGATGGAAAGATATTTTCGGTTATTTTTACACGACGCAATCTAGACGTTGACTTTCCAAACGTGATTTTCGGTTTTCAATTGAATTTTCTTCTTGGCGAAACAGGGGGAGGGAAGAACCCGCCATTCCTCTCCCCCTTCCTCCCCCTCCCCTTCCATGTAGGTTTGCATAACAAAGCAAGAACACGCTCGGTCCGCATTTGTTAGAATACACGGGATTTTATCTAACCGTGTCTAAACTGGACCAACCGCCGTTAAATTACTCTTGCAATTTTAATAGAAACAATGAAAGCATGTTTACCTTCGCGTCCAATTTTGCGCTCGCCCGCTGTTCCACAACACAAAGACCGTGGAGCCGAATATTTAAAGACTAAACAATACTTCTCTGATTTCCTAATTTTCAGGTTATACCAGGGAACGCGTCCGAATATTTCGAGCGTGAATTAATTCGAGGTATCGCTGTTGTATCGCCTTTTATCAGCCTACAAATTTATGCAATTTTATACGTTTTATCGGGAACACGGGACGAAGATAAAAGATATGTATAATACGGAAACGGGTGTTGATGATGAAATCAGTGATAGATGTTTGCAAAAAAAAAGAAAAAAAAACTTTATACGCCAATGTTGAGGATTGAAATTGAAGCAAAGAATAGATTTTTTATTTTTTATTTTTTTTTCTTCTTTTCTTTCTTTTTTTTTTTTTTTCTTTTTCTCTCTCTACGAAACGAATCGATTGTTTCTACCCATTCGTTTCTCCCCGTTATTCCGTTATTCTGTTTTATCTAACGATTTATATCTTTTCCAGAACACTACCACATATTCGTAGGAGATCTGAGCCCGGAGATCGAAACGCAGACCTTGAGGGAAGCCTTCGCTCCTTTCGGCGAAATCTCGTAAGTCCTCTTAATCTCGCTCATTAAAGCCGACTTACCTTCCTCCTAGTCGCGTACGAGTGATAATATAACGATATTACGTATAACGCTCATCTTTCGCGCGTGCAATGTTAACCAATAATAACGTGCTGCGAAAAAAGACGCAATTCATTTCGATGGAATTTAACAATTATCATCCTTACCAATGCGTCTTATTGAAAATTGTTGTAGACGTTGCAACTACGTCTATTATTCGATTAATGAATCCATCGATTCATTATCGCTTATCCTCGAGAAAAATGCTACTAATTATTAAAGATCTTGGCAAGACTTATTTCTAAAGACGCATTTTAGAGTCATTTGAAAGAAAGTAATGGAGTCATTTTCATTCGCTCGATCGATTTTTATTAAATATTAATGAAAGTAGTAATATATATAAAATATAATTTTGTCCACAGGTTTTTTTTTTAAATTAAACATTTTGTTTTTTGCATCTTACGAATTGTCGCGACAAAAAAGAGCAAAAATATATATATATTTCCATTAAATTTCCATAAAATAACGATAAAATTCCATAGTTGAATGGCATCGGTATTTAACGAGAGCAAAATGGCCCATCGCATTTGCGCTTCGTAGATGGGGATCGCAGATGGCAAAAATTTTCGGTTTTTAACGTTCGATCGCTCTGAAAAAAAAAGGAAATAAAACAAAGAAAGCAATAGAAATCGTTATACACGTTATAACATGTGCATATGAAGCGTAAAATTTATAAAGTTATCGATGTCACGCGTATTTTTAATTTATCGTCCAAAATATATATATATATTTATTTATTTATTTATTTTTTTCTTCACTCGAGTCCACGTGGCTGTTTAAATATTCATCGCGCTTCCAATCGTAAAATCACATTTGCCGAAATGCGTGTTTTGTTATTACGCCCGCATGAAATATTATATTCAACGGCGGGGATGCCGTTGCCGTTGCCGTAAATGATATTAACCGTTTCGCTGAT